GCAAGTCTGCGAGTGCAGATGGCAATGTGCTTCACTCCAACGCCCGCTTTAGCCTGCGCACGCACCTACCCTCACGGCGCCCGCCCCAATGTTCCCTTCGAGAGGTATAAGAAGGAAGGCGGTGCAAGTAAGTCAACGCTAGTCAACGTTAGTCAACGCTACCCAATGCTGGTCAAAGGTAGTCAACACCCTCTTTGGTCTCCACACCTACCTACCCGCATGGTGCTCACCCCATGTTCCCCTCGAAAGGGAAAGGTAGGAAGGCGATCCAAGTAAGTCAACTCCAGTCAACTACAGTCAAGTCGACACCATCCATTGTCAGTCAACTCCAGTCAAATCCACGGCTCCATTGTTAGTGTCTCAAAATTCGGATTCCCCGCTCTCCTCCACTCACCCATTTTCTTCCCGCATCTCCTCCACTCACCTCTCTCCTCCTTGTCCTCTAACCCCCCGTTTCCCTCCCATCGCTTCCCCTCTCTCTGGCCCACGTGCGCATCTCTCACTCTCTCATCGACTTTTGAGTCGACTCAAAAGTCAACCCACGTGCGCATCTCTCACTCTCTCTCATCAACAGCAACCCCATTGGGTGAGCGCCAATGCTGCTGCTGCTGCTGCTGCTGCTTCTTCAACCTTCATTCACTCCTCTCCTCTCCCCTCTTCCCATCCCGTCCCCCATCCCGCTTCACGTTCAGGTGCGCATCTCTCACTCTCTCATCTACAGCAACCCCATCGGGTGAGTGATGCTGCCCTGCCCAAAATCTTTCTCTTGAGTGAGCAGCGCCGCTCCTGCTGCTGCGGCGGCTGCGGCTGTCGTACTTTTCTTTCTTTTCTGCGGCTGTCGTACTTTTCTTTCTTTTCTGCGGCTGTCGTACTTTTCTTTCTTTTCTGCGGCTGTCGTACTTTTCTTTCCTTTCTGCGGCTGTCGTACTGTTCTTTCTTTTCTGCGGCTGTCGTACTTTTCTTTCTTTTCTGCGGCTGTCGTACTTTTCTTTCTTTTCTGCGGCTGTCGTACTTTTCTTTCTTTTCTGCGGCTGTCGTACTTTTCTTTCTTTTCTGCGGCTGTCGTACTTTTCTTTCTTTTCTGCGGCTGTCGTACTTTTCTTTCTTCAATGTGGGTTCTTTATCCGCTCCTCTTGTATCTGTTGAGCCGTCGTCACGCTCCGTCCCCGTCCTCCTTTCCCCTCCCTTTTTTTCCCCCTCCTCCCCACCTTTCCCCCCCGCCCAGCGTATTTCTGTACAACAGCCAGAGCATCACCGACGGCCACTCCACCTTCGTCAACACCCACATTCCATTTCTTTCTTACTTTCCCCGTCTACCAACCACCCACCACCCTCCTTCCCCCCTTCCCAGCGTATTTCTGTACGACAGCCAGAGCATCACTGTCAGCCACTCCACCTTCGTCAACACCCATGTTGCCATCGACCTGAATCGCAACTCCCTATCCACCCTCCCTCCCTCCCTCCTCCCTGCTTTCCCCCCACCCTTCCCCCTTCGCCCAGCGTATTCCTGTACAACAGCCAGAGCATCACTGTCAGCCACTCCACCTTGGTCAACACCCACATTGCCATCAATCCTGAACCGCAACTCTCTCTCCACCCATCCTTCCCCCCCACTCCCCCTCCCAGTGTATTTCTGTACAACAGCCAGAGCATCACCGTCAGCCAGTCCACCTTTCTGAACAACCGCGTCGCCATCGACCTCAACCGCAACTTTGGGATTCTCATCCTTGCCTGCACCTTCATCGGCCGCACAGTTTGCAGCAGGTAGGTAACGCTCTCACCAGATGGGTGCGGATCTAAGTTTGTGTAGCAAAACATGCAATGCAACCATCCTAGCCACTCCACCTTCCTCAACAACCGCGTCGCCATCGACCTCAACCGCAACTTCGGCATTCTCATCCTGACATGCACCTTCATCGGCGGCACCACCTGCAGGTACGAGTGTGTGTGTGTTGTGTACATGCATGTACATATTTTGAGGCGCCTCAAAATACACCTCAAGGTAGGAGTGTGTGTGTGTGTTGTGTACGGATATACGTGCATGTATGTACATATGTGCTGAAGGTAACAAAACACGCAACTACCCACCTTCCTCAACAACTGCGTTACCATCGACCTCAACCGCAACTTTGGCATATTTTTTAGTCGACTCAAAAATAGGCTCAAAAATAGTGTCGACTAAAAAAATATCCTCATTCTCGCATGCAACCTTAATTGGCCGCACCGCCTGCAGGTAACAAAACAATGTGTGTGTGTGCGGATACACGAAACATGCATATGTATTATAACAGAGCACGCAACGCAACTACCCACCCACCTTTCTGAACAACCGCGTCGCCATGGACCTCAACTGCAACTTTGGGATTCTCATCCTTGCATGCACATTCATCGACCGCACCGCATGCAGGTAAGAGTGTCACATGGGTGCGGTTACACATGTATGTAACACTGCCAGTCCAACTTTGGCATTCTCATCCTCACCTGCACATTCATCGACCGCACTGCCTGCAGGTAAGAATGCCACATGGGTGTGGGAATGAGTTTATGCAACAGGAACGTGCAACTATCTATCCACCCACCTTCCTGAAGAACCGCTTTGCCGTCAACATCAACTGCAAATCTGGCATCCTCATCCTCACATACACATTCATCGACCGCACTGCCTGCAGGTAAGAATGTGTGTGTGTGTGTGGATAAAAAGCACTGTGCCGTGCAGGTAAGACTGCCGGCCCAACTTTGGCATCCTCATTCTCACCTACATCTTCATCAGCCGCACCGCCTGCAGGTAAGACTGTGTGTGTGTGCAGATACACATGCACGTATATATATATACACACACACACACACACACACACACACACATATATATGTGCTGCAGGTAACACATCACACAACTATCCACCCACCATTCTCAACAACCGCATTGGAATCAACCTGAACCGCAACTTTGGCATCCTCATTCTCTCAAGCACGTTCATTGGCCGTATGGCCTGCAGGTAAGAGTGTGTGTGCGGAGGAGATACATATACATATGTGTGCGGAACCTGTTTCTCTTTTATTCTAAAAAAACATATACATTTGTGTGCGGAACCTGTTTTTTTTAGAATTCTCAAAAAACATATACATTTGTGTGCGGATAAGAAGCATCACTGTGCAGTGCAGGTAACACTGCCAGTCCCACTTTTGCATCCTCATCCTCCCTAGCCTGCCCCTGTTGACCCCTTGCACTCTGCTCCACATGCCTGTACATATCTCTTCCTTCCCTTTGCCCCAAACAGCAGATCATCTGGAGGGTCAACACCATATGATGCTGCACCTATCTTTGTGTTGACTCAACAATCTTTTCCCCACTCCTACTGCTCCCAGTGTATGTTTTTCCTCCTTCTCTTCGCCCCAACAGCAAACCATCCGGAGGTTCAACCCCTTATGATGCTGCATCGACACACCTAATGCCACCAACCCCGCCACAGCTACTGCCATCAACACACGCATTTCCTCCTTCCCCTGCCCCAACAGCAAATCATCTGGAGGTTCAACACTATATGATGCTGCACCGAAACAACTAATGCCATCAACCCCTCTACAACTCATGCCTTCAACCCCACAACTCATGCCATATGTTTCCTCCTTCCCCTTTGCCCCAACAGTAAATAATCTGGAGGGTCAACACCGTATGATGCTGCATCGACACACCTCATGCCACCAACCCGTCCACAACTTATGCCGTTCAACCCCGAAACAGCTACTGCCGGCAGCACACGCACCGACACAGCTAATGCCAGTAACGCATGCAACACCACAGCTAATGCCGTATGTTTCCTCCTTCCCCTGTGCCCCAACAGCAAATCCTCCGGAGGGTCAACACCGTATGATGCTGCATCGACACACCTCATGCCACCAACCCCGCCACAGCTACTGCCGTCAACACACGCGCTCATGCCATCAACACACGCACCAACACCGCTCATGCCGTCAACACACGCACCAACACCGCTCATGCCATCAACACAGGCAACACCACAGCTACCAGCAGGAGCAGCATCGTCTAGCCTGCACATTGAAGCTGCTACTAACGAGGATGAAATGGAAGGGTACACGACGTCGAACTGGCAGTCGCCTGGTCTGATGCTAACAGCGCCACAGTACAGTATGGAGGATGACTATAACGAGGATGAATATAGCGAGACAGCTGAAGCAGCTACTAAAGGGGTTATGGGAAGGGGAGGGAAGTGGGGATGGAGGAAGAGGAGGGTGCGTGGAGAGAGCAATGGATCAACTTATAAAGCGGATGAGGGAGATGACGAGGGGGTGGGTGAATCTACTGCTAAAATTCTTAGCACTTATCTAAAGGATGGGTCAGCTTACAATGAAGATCAATTAGTTTACAATGACGATGAAACGGCTTACAATGGTAGTGAGGATGGCCATGAGGTAGACGAAGAGGAAGTGGAGGACGAAGAGGAGGAGGAAGAGGATGATGGGGGTGGGGAGATCGAGGCGGTGCAGAGGGTGAAGGAGATGGCGACGAGGGGGCGAGTGGCTGCGGGGTTCTTCTATTCGCGGGACGGCGGCACGTTCAAGAGCCCCATTGGCGTGATGCTGAGTCAAGTGAAGCTGAGCGGCATGCTGGAAGCTAATAGGGTGGTGAACAGCAGGTGAGCGAACGGAGGGGGTGGGGAAAAGAGGGTTATAGGAAGGAGGTGGGAGGGAGAGATGGCACGTTCAAGAGCCCGCTCGGTGTGATGCTGAGCGGCATGCTAGAGGCGAATAAGGTGGTCAACTCAAGGTGAGAGAAGGGAACTGGGAGGGGTAGAGGGGGTTGGAGGTTGGAGAGAAGGGGAGGGAGGGCCTTGCCTTGCAGCCCGGTTGGCGTGAAGCTGTGCGGCATGCTGGAGGCGAATAGGGTGGTCAACGGCAGGTGAGAGGGAGGGGCGTGGAGGGGTAGAGGGGGTTTTGAGACGTCTCAAAACAGGGTGGTGAACAGCAGGTGAGAGGGAGGGGCGTGGAGGGGTAGAGGGGGTTTTGAGACGTCTCAAAACAGGGTGGTGAACAGCAGGTGAGAGGGAGGGGCGTGGAGGGGTAGAGGGGGTTTTGAGACGTCTCAAAACAGGGTGGTGAACAGCAGGTGAGAGGGAGGGGCGTGGAGGGGTAGAGGGGGTTTTGAGACGTCTCAAAACAGGGTGGTCAACGGCAGGTGAGAGGGAGGGGCGTGGAGGGGTAGAGGGGGTTTTGAGACGTCTCAAAACAGGGTGGTGAACAGCAGGTGAGAGGGAGGGGCGTGGAGGGGTAGAGGGGGTTTTGAGACGTCTCAAAACAGGGTGGTGAACAGCAGGTGAGAGGGAGGGGCGTGGAGGGGTAGAGGGGGTTTTGAGACGTCTCAAAACAGGGTGGTGAACAGCAGGTGAGAGGGAGGGGCGTGGAGGGGTAGAGGGGGGTTTTAGACGTCTCAAAACAGGGTGGTGAACAGCAGGTGAGAGGGGCGTGGAGGGGTAGAGGGGGTTTTGAGACGTCTCAAAACAGGGTGGTGAACAGCAGGTGAGAGGGAGGGGCGTGGAGGGGTAGAGGGGGTTTTGAGACGTCTCAAAACAGGGCGGTGAACAGCAGGTGAGAGGGAGGGGCGTGGAGGGGTAGAGGGGGTTTTGAGACGTCTCAAAACAGGGTGGTGAACAGCAGGTGAGAGGGAGGGGCGTGGAGGTGTAGAGGGGGTTTTGAGACGTCTCAAAACAGGGTGGTGAACAGCAGGTGAGAGGGAGGGGCGTGGAGGGGTAGAGGGGGTTTTGAGACGTCTCAAAACAGGGTGGTGAACAGCAGGTGAGAGGGAGGGGCGTGGAGGGGTAGAGGGGGTTTTGAGACGTCTCAAAACAGGGTGGTGAACAGCAGGTGAGAGGGAGGGGCGTGGAGGGGTAGAGGGGGTTTTGAGACGTCTCAAAACAGGGTGGTGAACAGCAGGTGAGAGGGAGGGGCGTGGAGGGGTAGAGGGGGTTTTGAGACGTCTCAAAACAGGGTGGTCAACGGCAGGTGAGAGGGAGGGGCGTGGAGGGGTAGAGGGGGTTTTGAGACGTCTCAAAACAGGGTGGTGAACAGCAGGTGAGAGGGAGGGGCGTGGAGGGGTAGAGGGGGTTTTGAGACGTCTCAAAACAGGGTGGTGAACAGCAGGTGAGAGGGAGGGGCGTGGAGGGGTAGAGGGGGTTTTGAGACGTCTCAAAACAGGGTGGTGAACAGCAGGTGAGAGGGAGGGGCGTGGAGGGGTAGAGGGGGGTTTTAGACGTCTCAAAACAGGGTGGTGAACAGCAGGTGAGAGGGGCGTGGAGGGGTAGAGGGGGTTTTGAGACGTCTCAAAACAGGGTGGTGAACAGCAGGTGAGAGGGAGGGGCGTGGAGGGGTAGAGGGGGTTTTGAGACGTCTCAAAACAGGGCGGTGAACAGCAGGTGAGAGGGAGGGGCGTGGAGGGGTAGAGGGGGTTTTGAGACGTCTCAAAACAGGGTGGTGAACAGCAGGTGAGAGGGAGGGGCGTGGAGGTGTAGAGGGGGTTTTGAGACGTCTCAAAACAGGGTGGTGAACAGCAGGTGAGAGGGAGGGGCGTGGAGGGGTAGAGGGGGTTTTGAGACGTCTCAAAACAGGGTGGTGAACAGCAGGTGAGAGGGAGGGGCGTGGAGGGGTAGAGGGGGTTTTGAGACGTCTCAAAACAGGGTGGTGAACAGCAGGTGAGAGGGAGGGGCGTGGAGGGGTAGAGGGAGTTTTGAGACGTCTCAAAACAGGGTGGTGAACAGCAGGTGAGAGGGAGGGGCGTGGAGGGGTAGAGGGGGTTTTGAGACGTCTCAAAACAGGGTGGTGAACAGCAGGTGAGAGGGAGGGGCGTGGAGGGGTAGAGGGGGTTTTGAGACGTCTCAAAACAGGGTGGTGAACAGCAGGTGAGAGGGAGGGGCGTGGAGGGGTAGAGGGGGTTTTGAGACGTCTCAAAACAGGGTGGTGAACAGCAGGTGAGAGGGAGGGGCGTGGAGGGGTAGAGGGGGTTTTGAGACGTCTCAAAACAGGGTGGTGAACAGCAGGTGAGAGGGAGGGGCGTGGAGGTGTAGAGGGGGTTTTGAGACGTCTCAAAACAGGGTGGTGAACAGCAGGTGAGAGGGAGGGGCGTGGAGGGGTAGAGGGGGTTTTGAGACGTCTCAAAACAGGGTGGTGAACAGCAGGTGAGAGGGAGGGGCGTGGAGGGGTAGAGGGGGTTTTGAGACGTCTCAAAACAGGGTGGTGAACAGCAGGTGAGAGGGAGGGGCGTGGAGGGGTGGAGGGGGTTTTGAGACGTCTCAAAACAGGGTGGTGAACAGCAGGTGAGAGGGAGGGGTGTGGAGGCTTAGAGGGGGTTGGCTGTTGGAGAGAAGGCATGGCACATCCCATTGGGGTGATGCTGATCAGGATCTTGGGGTTTTGTTGACTGCGGTGCGGTGCGGCCCCAGTCTGTGTGGGGTGTGATTTCTTCTGTAGCGTACTTTGTTGAGGCGACATACTGTGTGCTGTTGCAGGCACTCTCTGTGTGGGGTGTGATTTTTTTTCTTCTGTAGCGTACTTTGTTGAGGCGACTCAAAAAAACACCCCTCGCTTCATCCGCACCGCACTGCATCACATCAGGTTCTTGGGGTTTGGTGAATGCGGCCCCACTCTCAAGAGCTCTGCTCTGCTTAGGGTCCTCACAACAACCCTCATGACTTTTGAGTCGACTCAAAAGCAGGTCTGCACTTCCCCGCTTTCCCCTCTTCCTTCTTCCCTCAACACATCAGGTTCTCGGGGTTTGGTGAGTGCGGCCCCACTCTGAAGAGCTCTGCGCTGGTGTTGGCAGTGAATAAGGCAGGCGGATTCTGGAACCCAGCAATGAGTGTGAAGGTGAGAGGGAGGGAGGGAGTGAGTGAGTGAGTGAGTGGTAGTCTGCGTGAGTGAGTAAGGGAGTGTAGTTGAGTGTGACTGGCCCCACTCTGAAGAGCTCGGCTCTGGTGTTGGCAGTGAACAAGGGAGGCGGATTCTGGAACCCAGCGATGAGTGTGAAGGTGAGAGGGGGAGCGATTGAATGAGTGAGAGAGAGCGAGATTAGGGGAGGGTAAGTGAGAATGAGTGTGAGTGCGGCCATGCTCTGAAGAGCTCCGCTCTGGTGTTGGCAGTGAACAAGGCGGGTGGGTTCTGGAACCCAGCGATGAGTGTGAAGATGAGAGGGGGCTAGAGTAAGTGAGTTCTGCTGTGTGCGTGAGTAACGGAGAGTTGATGTGTGAGGGAGTGAGTGAGTGAATGAGTGGGAGTGCCACCCTCTCTGAAAAGCTCCGCTCTTGTGTTGGCAGTGAACAAGGCGGGTGGGTTCTGGAACCCAGCGATGATGAGTGTGAAGGTGAGAGGGACAGTACGGGAGTGTATCAGTTGGTGTGTGTGTGGTTGAGTGGGAGTGCGGCCCCACTCTGAAGAGATCTCCTCTTGCATTGGCTGGCTGGCAGTGAACAAGGCAGGTGGGAGCTGGAACCCAGCGATGATGAGTGTGGAACCCAGCGATGATGAGTGTGGAACCCAGCGATGATGAGTGTGGAACCCAGCGATGATGAGTGTGGAACCCAGCACTTATCACCTCTCTCTCTCCTCCCTCCTCCTTACTAATCCATGCACCCTCTCAGTCCCTCCTTTGCAGACCTGTCACTTTTAAGAATTCTCAAAAGCAACTAAGATTAAGCTGAGTTCTACACACATTGCCCCCTCCTCCCTACGCCCTATTCCCTCTTCCCTTTCATTCCCTGCTGCTGCATTCGTCAGGGTCTTCAGTTCACATCTGCCACAAGGCGACTCTATGCTGTTCCCAATGCGGTAAGTGCTGCTATTTGTGGTAAGTGCTGCTATTTGTGGTAGGTGCTACTATTTGTAGTAAGTGCTGCTATTCGTGGTAAGTGCTGCAATGTGCAGTAAGTGCTGCTATTTGCAGTAAGTGCTGCTATTTGCAGTAAGTGCTGCTATTTGCAGTAAGTGCTGCTATTTATGGTATGTGCTGGTAAGGTGGGAGGAGAGGGGAGGATCCAACGCTCGGTCCTACCCGCTGCACAATGCAGATGGCTCTTTCCTCTCCTCCTCCTCGCCAGCCTTCCCCAGCGCCGCCCGCCACCCCACCTTCGAGCTGCACGATGCCCATGGCTCCTTCCTCTCCTTGATTCCCTTTCTCTCTGCTCCTCTCCCTTCCTCCGCCCATTTTCCCTTTTCCAGCCCAGCTGCCCTGTCCCCAGGAAGGAAGGGCTCCAATGCTCGCTTTTACGCCCTCCACGACGCCAATGGCTCTTTCCTCTCCTCCTCCTCGCCAGCCTTCCCCAGCGCCACCCGCCACCCCACCTTCGAGCTGCACATTGCAGATGAATCCCTTCTCTCCTTACTTGACTTTCCCTCTCCATGCCTCCCCTTTCCCCTCTGCTCCTCTCTCCCATTCTACCCTCCAGCCCAACCGCCCTGTCCCCAGGGGAGGCTCCAATGCTCGCTTCTACGCCCTCCACGACGCCGATGGCTCTTTCCTCTCCTCCTCCTCTCCAGCCTTCCCCAGCGCCGCCCGCCCAGCCTACCTCGTTGCTCCGTTCCACCCGATCCTGCCGCCAACCTCGGTCCGAGCCTCCCTCTGCCAGTACCACGACACCTGGTCGCTCTACTCATGCAGGTTCGTGCGTTTCCGAGCCTGTGTGTCAGGTACGGTGTGGGGCATCCTTGATTTGGGTTGCTGCAGAGCTGGAGGTTGGAGGTGTCTCAGATTAGAACTTCGGGAGTGTCAGAATATTTGGAGTGTCAAAACAAAGCCACTCACCTGTGCACCTGAACATTCCAGGTTTCATGTATCAAGATTTCACGCAGCATTTTACCTTACAGAAAGCTTATCTGCCCTTGAGTGTGTTTTAACATTTGAGTGTGTTTCAATCTGAGCTCCTTTCTTCCTTCTCCGTCTCCTCCTCACCTACCCTCCAGGTCCGTCTGCTACCGAGCCATTGCCCTGACCTACCTTGAGTACGGCGTGCCGAACCTATCGCGGAACCAAATCAAGAAGCGCCGGATCCGACCCTATTCCACTGCAAAGTTCACCCGGCTAACCGACCGAGCCTATTTCTATTCCCTAGGAGACCGAAACGACTATTCCAAACTGTACAAAGGCTCGCAGCCTGTGCTTCGAACGATAACGGCGACTCTCTTAGCGGGGCACGCTTATTCGGTGGAAATCACCCCGCCGAGTGTAAATAGGGGGTTTTACCCTAAGAATATGACGGTGCGAGTGCTGGATAAAGGAGGGTGCGCTGGAGGGCTGGAGCTGCGGATAGTACCGCGGACGAGAGGGACTCAATGGAGGACAATCAAGTATCTGCCCCAGCTGTAAGTGGAGAGTTCTGCCCTAGGGAGGATGAGATGAGATGAGGAGGGGGATAAAGGAGGGTGCGCTGGAGGGCTGGAGCTGCGGATAGTACCGCGGACGAGAGGGACTCAGTGGAGGACTATCACGAATGTGCCCCAGCTGTAAGTCTCCCCTGCACTCCTCTGCACTCCTACCTTTCCACAATCAACCCTCCAACCCAACCCATGTCTGGAAAAGGGTCGGAACCCCTTTCACTTTCGCACACTTTCTGTTTGCACCCCTCTGCATTACTCTGCACCCCTACCTTCGCCCCTCCACCCTCCAGCCCATGCCGGGGAAAGGGGGGTCGAACCCCGAACCGCATGTACCAGCGCTGCACATACCGCAACAAGCAACCGACCCTGGCGCTCAGCTTCGGCCGAGCCTACGCAAAGTACAGAGGAGTGAGCATCGTGCTGGGGAGGATGAGAAGCCGAACGTGCCCTCCTGTGAAGTGAGTGGTGCCGGTTAGATTGGAGCATGGTGTGCATTGTGTGACAAACTGTTGATTTTTCAGTCGACTCAAAAATCGACTCATCACACGAAGAAGCCGAACGCGCCCTCCTGTGAAGTGAGTGGTGCCGGTTAAATTGGAGCATGATGTGCATTGTGTGACAAACCGTTGATTTTTTAGTCGACTCAAAAATCGACGCATCACACGAAGAAGCCGAACGCGCCCTCCTGTGAAGTGAGTGGTGCCGGTTAAATTGGAGCATGGTGTGCATTGTGTGACAAACTGTTGATTTTTTAGTTGACTCAAAAATCGACTCATCACACGAAGAAGCCGAACGCGCCCTCCTGTGAAGTGAGTGGTGCCGGTTAAATTGGAGCATGGTGTGCATTGTGTGACAAACTGTTGATTTTTTAGTCGACTCAAAAATCGACTCATCACACGAAGAAGCCGAACGTGCCCTCCTGTGAAGTGAGTGGTGCCGGTTAGATTGGAGCATGGTGTGCATTGTGTGACAAACTGTTGATTTTTCAGTCTACTCAAAAATCGACTCATCACACGAAGAAGCCGAACGTGCCCTCCTGTGAAGTGAGTGGTGCCGGTTAGATTGGAGCATGGTGTGCATTGTGTGACAAACTGTTGATTTTTCAGTCGACTCAAAAATCGACTCATCACACGAAGAAGCCAAACGTGCCCTCCTGTGAAGTGAGTGGTGCCGGTTAGATTGGAGCATGGTGTGCATTGTGTGACAAACTGTTGATTTTTCAGTCGACTCAAAAATCGACTCATCACACGAAGAAGCCGAACGTGCCCTCCTGTGAAGTGAGTGGTGCCGGTTAGATTGGAGCATGGTGTGCATTGTGTGACAAACTGTTGATTTTTCAGTCGACTCAAAAATCGACTCATCACACGAAGAAGCCGAACGTGCCCTCCTGTGAAGTGAGTGGTGCCGGTTAGATTGGAGCATGGTGTGCATTGTGTGACAAACTGTTGATTTTTCAGTCGACTCAAAAATCGACTCATCACACGAAGAAGCCGAACGTGCCCTCCTGTGAAGTGAGCGGTGCCAGTTAGATTGGAGCATGGTGTGCATTGTGTGACAAACTGTTGATTTTTCAGTCGACTCAAAAATCAACTCATCACACGAAGAAGCCGAACGCGCCCTCCTGTGAAGTGAGTGGTGCCGGTTAAATTGGAGCATGATGTGCATTGTGTGACAAACCGTTGATTTTTTAGTCGACTCAAAAATCGACGCATCACACGAAGAAGCCGAACGCGCCCTCCTGTGAAGTGAGTGGTGCCGGTTAAATTGGAGCATGGTGTGCATTGTGTGACAAACTGTTGATTTTTTAGTTGACTAAAAAATCGACTCATCACACGAAGAAGCCGAACGCGCCCTCCTGTGAAGTGAGTGGTGCCGGTTAAATTGGAGCATGGTGTGCATTGTGTGACAAACTGTTGATTTTTTAGTCGACTCAAAAATCGACTCATCACACGAAGAAGCCGAACGTGCCCTCCTGTGAAGTGAGTGGTGCCGGTTAGATTGGAGCATGGTGTGCATTGTGTGACAAACTGTTGATTTTTCAGTCGACTCAAAAATCGACTCATCACACGAAGAAGCCGAACGTGCCCTCCTGTGAAGTGAGTGGTGCCGGTTAGATTGGAGCA